ATAAGCGGGGTCTGCAAACTGTGGTCAGTGGGCCAAATCTGGTCTGATGCTGGCTTATATAAATAAAGTTTTATTGGAACATATTTGTTCATGTGGCTGTTTTTGCCCTGTGACCATATAATTAAGTGGTTGCAACAGAGACCATATGGCTCACGAATCCTAAGACATTAATTACTTAGCCCTTTGCAGAAAAAGTTTACCAACCCCTAATGTGTAAAGCACTTAGTATTCATTAAGCACTGTGCTAGTGACTGGATGTGGAGTTGTGAAAAAAGTGGATACAGGTCTATACTTAAAAAGTTTACATCAGGCTGGTTGCAATGGCTCACATCTGTAATCCCAGCACTTCGGCAGGCCTAGGCAGGTGGATCACCTGAGGTCAGGAGTTCGAGACCAGCCTGGCCAAAAAGGTGAAACCCCATCTCTTCTAAAGGTACAAAACTTAGCCGGGGGTGGTGGTGCATGCCTGTAATCCCAGCTACTTGGGAGGCTGAGTCAGGAGAATCACTTGAACCTGGGAGACAGAGGTTGCAGTGAGCCGAGATCACGCCCCTGCACTACAGCCTGAGCAACAGAGTGAGACTCAAAAAAAAAAAAAAAAAAAAAAAAAAGTTTACGTCATAGTTGGAGAGAGACAGGCAATAATCATTTAAGAAGTAAATATCAAATCACACCTTCATATCGGCAGTGGAGGGAAAGTAGATGTTCTTAGAGGTATTTTGAGGGCAGCTAGGAGTTAAAATGATCCTTTGATGACGTGGGAAGAGTCAGTAGAAGTCACTTGTTTGAAAGGGGGCTTGGGGCCCAACATGTTGCTTATGGAGGTAAATGTCCTGTAAGGGTTTTTATTGTGGCCACTCTGCTGGAGACCCCCCAAAATGCTCTGCTTCCGTCCTCACCCCTTCTTTTACTTCAGTGTCCCTTTTATTGCAGGGAGGACACCGACTGAGACCTCAAACCCTGGCTCCAGTGTCATGGTGAGGAAGTTGGGGGCTCCTGTGGTTGAAGGGGTGGATACATAGGATAACTATGTCCTCTGGGCCTTGTCTTCTTTCTCCCCACTTCCCTGCCCAACTGAGGAAGAAAGGGGAGGGCGAGTGAGGAGCAGCCTCATCCCTGCCCTAGGGGACCTGGGGACGTCCTTCTGTGCCTGGCGTCTAGAGGGAAACTGGCATGGAAGAAGAGTCCCACAGCAGACCCTGGGGCTCTGAGTGGAGCTCCTCCAGGGCCAGCCTTGCCATCCCTGGTTAGACCTATTGAAAACACATGTGGCCACAGAAATATAAATTCAGCTTAAATTAATTAAGATTCAATACATTTAGCCAGGCATGGCTGTGTGTGTCTGGAATCGTAGCTACTTGGGAGGCTGAGGTAGGACGATAGCTTGAGCCCAGGAGGTTGAGGCTGCGTTGAGCTAGGATTGTGAGCTTGTACTCCAGCCTAAGCTATAGAGTAAAACCCTGTCTCTTAAAAAAAAAAAAAAATTAAAAAGTTTTAAGTGCTCAGTTTCTCAGTTTCCCCAGTCACATTGCCCAAGTGCTCAACAGCCACATGTAGCTGGTAGCCCCTTTCTGGAAAGCGCAGGCATGGAACATTCCTATCAGCAGAGAGTGATGTCTGTTGGACAGCGCTGCTCTGAAGAATTCTGCAATTAAAAGGCCATACAGATTCTCAGATGAGGCCGGGCGTGGTGGCTCATGCCTGTAATCCCAGCACTTTGGGAGGCCGAGGCGGGCAGATCACTTGAGGCTGGGAGTTCAAGACCAGCCTGGCCAACATGGTGAAGCTCTGTCTACTGAAAATACAAAAAATCAGCTGGGCGTGTGGCGCGCGCCTGTAATCCCAGCTACTTGGGAGGCTGAGGCGGGAGAATCACTTGAACCCGGGAGGTGAAGGTTGCAGTGAGCCGAGATTGCGCCACTGCAGTCTAGCAAGACTCTGTCTCAAAAAAAAAAAAAAAAAAAAAAAAGACTCTGAGATGCAATGGAAGTCCTACTTTCACAAGTATAAAAGATTATTAAGGACGTAAGTCTTGGGGAATCCCAGGGACTTCACAGAAATTAAGCTGTCAAGCCCAAATTTGTGGTGCTGTGCCAATTTGTGATAAGGAGTTTAGGAAAAACTCTGTAAGCCAGGAAGGACAGGCTCTGGCATCACAAGTCAGTGGAGTTACACAGAGAGCCAAAACGTACACTCTAGGATTTGTCCAAATGTTAAAAGAAAGTGAACATTTCAGCTTGGTGGCCCGGGTGACAGAGACTCTGCCATTGTGGCCTCAAAACAGCCACTGATGCATTGTAAATAAATGCACGTGGCTGTGTGCCAAGAAAACATTATTTACAAAAATAGGCGTTGGGCTGGGTTTTCCACGCCTGCCGTGTCTGAACATTTTCTCTTCTCCAGTGATAACCAGTCATTCTGCTCACTGGTGGGGGCGGTCTTTGCCGAGCCACGTGTGTGCTGTTTTAGGAATCAGTCACCTTGGAGGATGTGGCGGTGGAGTTCATCCAGGAGTGGGCATTGCTGAATAGCGCACGGAGGAGCCTGTGCAGATACGGGATGCTGGACCAGTGCAGGACCCTGACCTCCAGGGGTAAGGCTGGCGTCACCTGGCTCCTTCTGTACGCGGGCACTAAATGCTTCTTAAGCGCCTGCCATGTGAACAAGACAGACGTGGCTTAGGCTTTGTGGCGCTTATCGTCCACAGGATGACAAAGCTTCATCTGTTGCACTGCCTTCTTTCCCTCTTTAGTAAGGCCCTGTTTTGGTCTCCTTGAATTTGGTCCCAGGCTTCCGAGGTGAGAGAGCCTCAGTCCCTTGGGGCAGAGGGGAGGGTGTTTGTGGGTTGGGTCCTGAGTTCATTAGCTACTGGGCAAGATCCCTTTGCTACCCATCACACTTGCTCAGCCCAAAGAATCTGAAGCTCATGTTGAAGCTGAAGGAGAGTCTGAGTTGAAAAACAAGTTTGTTTTCCTCTTCAAGCCCTCCCTCCGTCCCTCAGCGCCTGTGTCTTTCTTCATGTGCAGGAACTCCACCATGCAAACCCAGTTGCGTCTCCCAGCTGGGGCCAAGAGCAGAGCCAAGGGCAACAGAACGAGGGATTCTCCATGCCACGGGTGTAGGTGAGTACCAGGCAGGCTGTGGATTCCCTGACCCGCCTGGCTGGGTGGTGTGCCCTGGGAAGTGTCACGCTAAGAGCATTTTCAAACGCCCTTTGTTCTGAGGGGACACCGAAGGCTATTCAGAGTGAGGTTTCTCAAGTTCCTTTAGCTTCTCTTCTATTTTCACTTTCTAGCCCTCCTCTCCTACTTTCCTTTGGTTTCAGAAAAAGATTTGTTCTAATTTCTCTTAAAAAATTAGAGGGCCAGGTGTGGTGGCTCATGCCTGTAATCCCAGCACTTTGGGAGGCTGAGGTGGGTGGATCACAAGGTCAGGAGTTGAAGACCAGCCTGGCCAAGATGGTGAAATCCCGTCTCTACTGAAAATACAAAAACCAATTAGCCAGATGTGGTGGTGGGCGCCTGTAATCCCAGCTACTTGGGAGGCTGAGGCAGAGAATTGCTTGAACTCAGGAGATGGAGATTGCAGTGAGCCAAGATTGCGCCACTGCACTCCAACCTGGTTGAAAGAGCAAGACTTTGTCTCAAAACAAAACACACACACACACACACACGCAAATATATATATATATATATATATATTTTTATATATATATATTTACATATATATTTTCAATTTTATGCCAGTATTTCTTTTTGAAAGGAGTTCATTTTTTCTCAATTCGTTTCAGACTGGAAATCTCAACTTGAATATATGTATTTGGTATTAAAATTTGAATATTTATATTCAATATTAAAAGAAAAGGCCTATGTGTGTATAGTGTGTCTATATATTCACATACATATGTGACTATATATGTAGGTGAATATATATTTTCAATTTAATGTCACTATTTCTGAAAGGAGTTCATTTTTTTCCCCCATTCATTTCAGCCTGGGAATCTCAACTTAAACCCAAAGAGTTGCCTTCTATGCAGGCTCTTTTGGAAGAAGCATCCTCCAGGGACATGCAAATGGTAAGATGCACGTGGTTTTCCCTGGCTCCCAGCACGGGAGAAGTTGAGGAACACGTGAGGTGGAAATACAGGACCAGAGCCAGGGAGATGTTAGCAGCATGGGTATCTCTTGGAAGGAAAACAGTGTCTGAGTTCCTGTGACTTCTGAATTTGGGCAAACCCTGACTGTTGCTCAAGATTTTTTTTTTTTTTTGAGACAGAGTCTCGCTGTATCACCCAGGCTGGAGTGCAGTGGCGTGATCTTGGCTCATTTCAGCCTCCACCTCCCGGGATCAAGTGATTCTCCTGCTTCTGCCTCCCGAGTCGTTGGAACTGCAGGCATGCACCACCATGCCTGGCTAATTTTGGTATTTTTTGGTTGAGACAGGGTTTCACTGTGTTGGCCAGGCTGGTCTCAAACTCCTGGCCTCAAGCGATCTGCCTGCCTCAGGATTCTTTTTTTCTAGAAGGTTTCCTGAAGGAAACATTTTAATAAATGTGAGTCAGACATTGAGTGTGTGAAATATGACCTCCTCCTTAGCAACTGTCAGAAAAACCCATCCTGGTAGAGAAGCCCCATTGTGAGTAAGAGGGAGCCCTGTGGTAGAGCTGGCAACACACTCAACTTGACGAACCCCAGCTGTCTAAACAAGGCATGGCTTGAAAATGTTGAGAATATGCTCCTGGTGGGGAGGACCCCTGGGCACTGACACAGATATTGACGAGCTTCCCACCATCACTCACCTCTTTTTCTGTTTTTTAAAAGACAGGGTCTCGCTCTGCCACACAGGCTGGAATGCAGTGGCATGTTCATGGCTCAAATTCTGGGCTGAAGTGATCCTTCTACCTCAGCCTCCCGAGTGCCTGGGACCACAGGCCTGAGTCACCATGCCCAGCTATTTTTTTTCTTTTTCTTTTTTTTTCCTTAGAGATGAGGTCTTGCTGTGTTGCTCAGGATCATCTTGAACTCCTGGCCTCCTGTGATCCTCCCACCTCAGCCACCCAAGTAGCTGGGACTACAGGTGTGAGCCAGTGGGCCCAGCCATTACTCACCTCTTGTCAGGAGCAAGCTCCACCTGGAGAAAAGGCTCCTGAGGAGTTGAAAGGAGGCAGGAAATATTTCTGGAGGAGCCTGGATTTGGATGAGAGAACTGGCCAGAGAGAGGCTGCTTTGATTGGAAAGAATGTGGGGAAGTTGCTGGGCATCCTTCTCTTCTTAGGAGACCTGTCTAGACTCCACACTGGAAGGAAGCCCTTTTCAGTGTGGAAAAGTCTTCCATACGAGCTTGTACATTAACAGTACAGGAGAAAATATACACTGAGTCCCCACCATCCCCTCTTTGGCCCTAAATTCCTTCCCCCTCAAACGATAGGACCTTCCAAAGTTTGGGTTCCCATTCCTGAGTGTTGGTGAAAGTTAGGGTTAGGGTTTGGATAGAAAGAGGCACAGAGCTCAGCTTCACTCCCCAGGTGGGGCCTGTTAGTCCCAGGGTCAGTGAGAACCCCGGGATCCCTCAGTCAGTGCCCCTTCCCCTGTGTCATGGATGGGTGTCAGCATCAGAGATGCCCCACCCAGTGGATAGGGTGCAGTGGCCTACGTTTTAGAGACCCATACTCCACTTCTTTGCCAGGGAAGCTTCTGGAACACCGAGAAGCCTCAACCTGTGCAGCCTGGGGTGGGCTGCAGATCAGCCAAAACTCACAACCTGCCTGGCTGCAACAGACCCCTGGGCAGCCGACAGCCCTCCTCACTCCCCAGACCCTGCTCATTCTTGGTTTACACTCTTGTTTTGGTGGAGAACACCCTCCAGTAGCTCCTTGGGAACAGGTGCTTGGGTTTTGAGACCTTGAGTTCTGAGAATGTCTTATCAGGGCTGCTGGATTGCAGGTTCCTCATCCGATGTGGTGGTTGTGATAAGCCTCATTACAGAACATCCTTTTTCCTTTCTTACCTTTTTACATAGACATGGGGTCTTGTTCTCTCGCCTAGGCAGGAGTGCACCGGCATGATTGTAGCTCCCTGTAGCTTCGAACTTCTTAGCTCAAGCGCTCTTCCTGCCTCAGTCTCCTCCCGAGTAGCTGGGACTACAGGCGTGCACCACCATGTCTGGCTAATTTTAAAAAATTGTTTTGGAGAGAAGTCTCGCTGTGTTGTGCAGGCTGGCAATTGCAGGGCATTCTGTGTGTCGTGTAGCCCCCAGTGCTTGTTGAATGAAGGGATGAATGGATAAGGTGTTGCAGAAGGCGTCCCCAGGTCCCATCCTCCACCCCCATATCTCTCTTGCTCAGCAGGTGGACCCCATGTGAAGAAAGGAGAGAGGGAGAGAGAATGAGCCACGAGGGCCCGGTGCCCTCTTCATTTCTGTGGGCTCTCTCCTTTCAGTACAGGGCTCCAGCGCCCTCCACAGAACTCCACACCCAGCCCAGCAAGCCCCTCTGTGATGGGTGCTGAGAGTGGCAGGCATGGGGCTCTTGTTACATCAGAGCTCCAGGAAACAGGCAGTCACAGACTATTCTGAGTGGGCAGAAGAGGTCCACCTATGGACACATATTTAGAGAAGCTGAGGAGTTCATCACTGAAGACATCCAGCCCGTGAGTAGTAGAGGTGGGTTTGGAGCTAGGAGTTGAACCCAGACCTAACCCCAGAGACCACAGTCTCAGCTGCCAGGTTCTGCTGCCTGACGATCATAAAACCTGCCACTGGGGTGATGGTGCTGACCCTTCAGGTAGCCCTTCCAGGCCATGCCAGGCATCATTGCGCCTGTCACAATCATTGAGACCCTGCACGGTGGCTCTGAGACCTCCCTGTCACATGGGAAAAAGTGCTAATGGCCAGGGACAGAGTGAGTCCCCATGGCCTCCCTCTCTTTTGTCAGCTGGTCCAGCGGACGGACCAGTGAAGAGGAGGGTGGGAAACTGCTCTTAGAAGAGCCCCGAGGAAGCCAGGCATGGGGGCTTACCCCAGAATCCCAGCAACTCAGGAGGCCAAGGTGGGAGGACCACTAGAGCTCAGGAGTTTGAAACCAGCCTGGGCAACATAGCAAGAACCCGTCTCTGCAAAACATACAAAAATTAGCCATAGCCAGGTGTGGTGGTGTGCACCTGTAGTTCAGCTACTTGGGAGGCTGAGGCGAGAAAATTGCTTGAACCCAGGAATTCAAGGCTGCAGTGGGCCATGTGTTTGCACCACTGCTCTCCAGCCTGGGTGACGGAGCAGTATTCTGTCTCAAAGAAAAATAAAAAGCCCCAAGGGAGGCTGAGGAACAGCCCTTGTTCTGTCCCAGGGCCACCCCACAGCTGCCTCTTCTGCAGACACCCAGCTCTTTGAGGCTGCAGTGTTGCTGCTCTCGTCCTCTGCTGGGTCCCCAGGCCTGCACCAGCAGTGCCCGTGTCTCAGTCCATTCTCACCCTGCTAATAAAGACATATCTAAGACTGGGTCATCTATAAAGGGTGGAGGTTTAATTGACTCACAGTTCAGCATGGCTGGGGAGCCCTCAGGAAACGTACAACGTGGTAGCAGGGGAAGCAAACACGTCCTTCACATGGTGGGCAGGAAGGAGAAGTACAGACAAAAGGGGAAAAGCCCCTTATAAAACCATCAGATCTTGTGAGAACTCACTATCATGAGAACAGCAGCGTGGGGGTAACTGCCCCCATGATTCAATTATCTCCCACCAGGTCCCTCCCATGACATATGGGGATGATGGGAACTACAATTCAAGATGAGATTGGGGTGGGGAGATAGCCAAACCATACCAGCCCGGTACATATTTGTTCGACAAATTGGCAGAACACCTAAAAACAGTTTCTTTTAAGTAGTATGACCTGTGTCTAAATGATTCTGATGCAAACATTTGTCTCAAAACGTACCTGTGCGATTTTAATTTATGACTCAGAAAGGCCAATGTCATTGGAAAATTTTGATTACTTGTATTTCCTGGGAGGACAGGGTACACCATGCCACACAGGTCCACACAGGGAAACACCAAGGTCAGCCTGGGGGCAGAAAGGAGCAAGGGGATAGCCTAGGCCAGAGCGTTTCTTGGGGTTTCCACAGGGAAAGTGAGGCGGGCAGGGTAAACCGCCCAGGATTGGTCAGTTTGAATAATTTTAGTGGACCTTGGCGGGTAGGTGCTGTCCCTGGCTGTTTTAGGGCAGGGGAAGTATTGACTGAGATAAGGAGCCGGTGAGATAAGAACTGGTATGGTGTGTGGACTGTGGGTCACAGGGAAGTTGGAGACAAAGTTGGCAGGCAGTTTGACCCTATGAATGATGGATGCCCTGTGGACAAGGACAGCATTCCTATTCAGAACTGATATCTCCTGACCTTTCTTTCTTTTTTGTTTTTTGGGTGACTTAAACAGCAGAAATTTATTTTCTTACCCTTCTGGAGGCCAGAAGCCCAAGATCAAGGTGGCAGCAGGGCTAGGTTCTCCCGAGGCCTCTCTCCTTGGCTTGCAGGTGGCCACCCTCCTGCTGCCTTTTCACACGGCCACCCCTCTGTGCCACACCCCAGTGTTCTGTAGTGAAACGTCTCATAGCCTCTCCAGGGGCTCTGTCCTAACCTTAGGTCTGTCTCTGCATCTGCAGTGTGTTAAATCCTGGAGACCCTCGGTGGCGGCTGGTGCCTGCAGTAGGTTGGGAGTAGTTACTAAGTCTGAGGCTACCAGATGCCAGACCCGTGTACCTTGCCTTTTTTTTTTTCCTTTAAAGACACAGTCTCGCTCTGTTGCCCAGGCTGGAGTGCAGTAATGCAATCTCAGCTCACTGCAACTTCTGCCTCCCAGGTTCAAGTGATTCTCATGCTTCAGCCTCCCGAGCAGCTGGGACTATAGGCGTGCACCACCACACTTGGCTAATTTTTGTATTTTTAGTAGAGATGGGTGTATCAGTCTGTTTTCATGCTACTGATAAAGACATACCCAACGAGACTGGGCAATTTACAAAAGAGAGAGATTTTGTTAGACTTACAGTTCCACGTGGCTCACAATCATGGCAGAATGCAAGGAGGAGCAAGTCACGTCTTACATGGATGACAGGAACTAAAGAGACCTTGCACAGGAAAACTCCCCTTATAATAACCATCAGATCTCATGAGACTTAGTTATTATCACGAGAACAATCATGGGAAAGACCTGCCCCCATGATTCAATTACCTCCCACTGGGTCCCTCTCACAATAGGTGGGAATTCAAGATGAGATTTTGGTGGGGACAGAGCCAAACCATATCAATGGGGCTTCGCCATGTTGGCCAGGCTGGTCTTGAACTCCTGGCCTCAAGCAATTCTTCCACCTCAGCCTCCCAAAGTGCTGGGATTATTGGCATGAGCCACCGCACCCGGCCCCATTTGCCTTGACATCTGGCAGCCCTAAGCCCCAAACCAAAGGTCTCTTGGGCCAAGAACAGCTGCAGTGCTACCTCTGTCCTGCTCAGCACCCTCCTGTCTTTTCCCAGGGGCCAGGGCTGTTCCTGAGGATGCAGCTGGTGCCCTCCATAGGAGTGAAGGAGACACCATTGACTCAAGAGGACCGGCCAGCTCTCCAGGAGTCGCCTTGGTCTCCAGGATGCACGGTAAGCCTGGGAGAGGTTCACTGTGATGGCACCAGGTGCAGTCAGGAAGGCCTAGGGTGTGGGGTGTCTGTAAATTGGGGTAGGGGAGGGAAAGGAGGGCGTCTGGGGCCTATAGGAGGCCCAGGCTGTGGGCTTGGGGTGGTGCAGTCTGTTTCTGTGTTGAATATACTTGTCCCCAGGGTGATGGCGGGCTCCAGGGTGGGTCCTAGGGGAGGGTCTGGTTGTTGGACTGTGGGCCCTGCCTTTCCTGGTCCAGCCTTTTTTCTTCCTGTCCTTCCACCCCAGTCCCACTGCTTCCACGACCTTGAAACTGACGGGAACTGGCAGCTCCTATGACCTGAGCAGGCTCAGGGAAGTGAGGACCTCTTGGCTCAGGGCCCTGTGTGTCCTTACCAAGGCAGAGAGAGAATGGGAGGGAGAGACGCTGTAAGGCAAGGGTCGCTAACCCCCAGGCCGTGGACCAGTGCTAGCCCCTAGCCTATTAGGAACCAGGCTGCAGAGCAGGAGGTGAGCGGTGGGCGAGCATCCATGCCTGATCTCCGCCTCCTGTCGGATCAGCAGCAGCACTGGATTCTCAGGGAAGCTCGAATCCTACTGTGAACTGCGCATGTGAGGGATCTAGGCTGCAGGCTCCTTATGAGAATCTAACTAATGCCTGATAATTGAGGTGGAACAGTTTCATGCCAAAACCATACCCCCACCCTGGTTTGTGGAAAAATTGTCTTCCATGAAACTGGTCCCTGGTGCCAAAAAGGTTGGTGACTACTGCTGTAAGGCACATCCTGAGCCCTGCACGAGGAGAAAAGGCCTCCTCCCACTTGTCCCTGCCCTGTTCCCTCGCCCAAGGGACCTGCTGCATGTACCCCTCACCCCCCATCCACCACCAAGTCCTGCTAGCGTTATCTCCAAAATGTAACCCACCTCCAGCTGCCCGTCCTGTCCCTGCTGCTGCCCCCCTGCCCAGAGCCACTGTTAGCTCTCCTGGACTCTAGGTCGGCTCCTGACAGGCACCTGGGCCCCACCCTGGACACAGAAGCCAGAGCGATCCCTTAGAAGTGCGAGTCAGGTCAGACATGTTTCCTGAGCAAGCAGCTGCCGGCAGAGAAGAGTCACATCCTACTCCGAGGAGGGGTCTTCCTCCCAGAAAAACTCACTGACTGCCTGCTCCTCTCTCACTCAGGTCCACCTCCAAGCTCCATCTCCCCTCTACCCCTCAACCTCCTGGCCATCCACTCCCCACTGTTTTCCCAGCTTTTCCCTGACTTCTAGAGCCTCCTCGGAGGGTGCCACCTTCCCCAGCCCCTGCCTGGGCACCCTCTCTCCAGGCCATTTTGGATCACAGTGATTAGCTTTGTATTTAAGGATTGGGTAAATCCTGACAAGGTAAATGGGTTTATCTCTTCTTTTATTAACATGTTCCCCAAAGCAGGATCAAACATGCACATTCATCTGGGGTGAGCAGGTGTGAGTGGACCCCCTCAGCCTCTTGACTCTAATCTGTGACCCCTGTCACTCTGTGCAGGGACTGAAGGCCGCTGTGCAGATTCAGAGGGTGTTGATACCAGTGCCTACGCTGGGCCACCCCGACCCGTGGGTGGCCGGGGATTCTGGTGAGTGAGTGCTGCATGGAACACGTGGCCAGAGGGCCCTGCTATCCTTGTGTTCTGTCCAGGAACTTGTATCGCATCCTGCCTACAGGTCCTCTGACTGCAGGCACTGCCGTGGCACCATAGGGAGAGGATGCAGAAAGCCTCTCTCGTTATTTGTGTATTTAAGCAGGAGGGCACTTCCAGTGACAGATTTTTCTGTTAAGAAAGAGAGGTTCACTCAACTGCAGGAAAAGGCCAGACCTCTCTTTGGGCAACATGAAATTCTTGACTACATGATAATGTCGATTTTTGAAAATTATGATTGAATTTACTAGAAATGGCCTGTGTTTTAACTGGGTTTTAAAAAATGAGGTTCAGGCTGGTTGCAGTGGCTCATGCCTTTAATCCCAGTGCTTTGCAAGGCGTAGGCAGGAGGATTGCTTGAGGCCAGGAGTTCGAGACCAGCCTGGGTAACATAGTGAGACCCCTATTTCTAAAAAAAAAAAAAAAAAATTAGCCACAGGTGGTGCCTAAGTCCTAGCTACTTGAGAGACTGAGGCAGGAGGATCGCTTGAGCCCAGGAGGTCAAGGCTGATGTGAACTACAGTTGCTTTACTGTACTTTGCAGCCTGGGTGACAGAATGAGTCCCTGTCTCTAAAAAAAAGAGGTTCAAAGCCACTTCTCCTGAGAAGTGGGGAAGAAATTAATTCTAGAAGACAAATAACATTTTAGCTTTAATGGTAAGGTGTTTGTTTTCTTCCAGTTTGCCTTCTAGTAAGAATAATAAACTTTGTTTCTTAAAAGTGCCATCCACTCTTGTGTCTGGAATCTCTGTTATCTTCTTGACAGGGAACAATTCTTAGATCTAGGTCATGTGTTGCTCTTCAGTATATTTTTGGTAAGCCTTCTGGGCTAGGCTCTATTTTGTTACTTCTTTTTTTTTTTTTTTTTTTAATTGAGATAGCATCTCACTCTATCACCCAGGCTGGAGTACAGTGGCGCGATCTCAGCTCACTGCAGCCTCTGCCTCCCAGGTTCAGGCGATTCTCCTGCCTCAGCCTCCCGAGTAGCTGGGATGACAGGTGTGCGCTACCATGCCTGGCTAATTTTTGTATTTTTAGTAAAGACAGGGTTTTGCCATGTTGGCCAGGCTGGTCTCAAACTCTTGACCTCAAGTGATCTGCCCACCTCGGCCTCCCAAAGTGCTGGGACCAGAGGTGTGAGCCACCGTGCCCGGCCTATTTTGTTACTTCTTGAAGCGGGTAACACCACCATTGTCATCATCCGGTGGTGAGATGGGGACCAGGAAACAGTCACAAAGAAAACACTGACCCCTCTTCCGTGGAGCTCACAGTCCGCTGGGTGGTCAGAGTTGGAAATGAATAACAGAGTCCAATGGAAGCGTGTTGTACAAGGACTTCATCTCAGGGCACAGGGGAGAGTTCTGGGAAAGGATGGATATTTAAGCTTAGGCCAGGGTTTCTCAACTGCAACACTGCTGATACTGGGGCCTGTTCACTCTCCGTTGTGGGCCGTCCTGTGCATTGTAGGATGTTGAGCAGCATCCCTGGCCTCAACTTACTAGACGATAGAAGTGCTTTTCCTCTATGAGTTTGTCAGGGCTGCCGTATCAAAGTTCCAACAGCTGGGTGGATTAAACAGCAGAAATATGTTGTCTCACCGTTCTGGAGGCCAGAAGCTCGACATCAAGGTGTTGGCAGGGCTGGTTCCTTTGGAAGCCTCTCCTTGGTGTGTAGATGGCCATCTTGTCTCTGTGTCTTCACATCATCTTCCCTCTGGACATGCCTGTGTCCAAATGTCGTCTTCTTGTGATGGGGTTTGGATTTGTGTCCCCGCCTAAATCTCATGTCAAATTGTAATCTCCAATGTTGGAGGAAGGGCCTGGTGGGAGGTGACTGGATCATGGGGGTGGACTTCCCCTTGCTGTTCTCTTGATGGTAAGTGAGTTCTCATGAGATCTGGTTGTTTAGAAATGTGTAGCACCTCCCGCTTCACTCTCTTCCTCCTGCTCCAGCCATGTAGCACGTGCCTGCTTCCCCTTTGCCTTCCGCCATGATTGTCAGTTTCCTGAGTCCTGCCCAGCCATGCTTCGTATACAACCTGTGGAACCAGGAGCCAAATTACACCTCTTTTCTTTATAAATTCCCCAGTCTCAGGTAGTTCTTTATAGCAGTGCAAAGCGGACTCATACATCTTTTAAGTACACCAGTCATATTGGACTAGGGCCCGCCCTACTGACATCATTTTAATTTAATTACCTCTAAAGACTCTATGTTCAAATATGGTTACCAGGGGTGAGATAAGATACCAGGGGTTAAGACTACAAGATATGAATTTTTGGGGTCATACACTTCAGCTCGTAACATCCACATACCCCCTAGTCATGAAAAGCTAAAGTGTCTCTAGATGCGACAGACTGAATTGTGCTTCCCCTCCCCAAAATTCGTGTTGAAGCCCCAGTGTCTCCCCCGAAGGTGCCATGGGAGATGGGGCCTCTAAGGAGGTGATAAAGGTTAACTAAGGTCATAAGGGTGAAGCCCTGAACCAACAGAACTCATGCCCTTACAAAAAGAGGAAGAGACACCAGAGCTCTCTCTCGCCCATGTGAGGACACAGCCAGAAGGCAGCTGTCTGCAAGCCAGGAAGAGAGCCCTCACCAGAAACCACCCATGCTGGCATCTTGATCTCAAACTTCCAGCATCCAGAACTGTTAGCAGCAAATTTCTGTTAAGTCACCTAGTACATGGTATTTTGGAATGACAGCTCGACACCAAATGTACCCTGGGGGACAAACCCTGACCTAGACCATGATAAATACTGTAACATTTAGCTTGGTCAGGTGTTGGGCTGTTGGGAGGTTCGGAGAGAGGATATCAGGCTTAGGAACAACATTGATAAAATTCCCCATGGAGCACATAACCGGTTGCATCCAGGGCCCATGGAAGATGCTGTGAAGGGAGGAGGGAGAAGTGGAGAGAGAGTGGTGTGAGCTGATTGAAGAAGAAGCAGGTTCCAGATTGTTTAGGGCTTGGAAGTACAGGACAAGAACCTTGGCCCATGTTCTAAGCCCACTGGGAGCCAGTGATGTGTTTAGGTGAGTGGTGCAATGCACCTGTGATTTTTTTTTTTTTTTTTGAGATGGAGTCTCACTCTGTCGCCCAGACAGGAGTGCAGTGGCGCAGTCTCGGCTCACTGCAAGGTCTGCCTCTGGGGTTCATGCCATTCTCCTGCCTCAGCCTCCCGAGTAGCTGGGACTACAGACACCTGCCACCACGCCTGGCTAATTTTTTGTATTTTTAGTAGAGATGGGGTTTCACCATGTTAGCCAGGATGGTCTCGATCTCCTGACCTCGTGATCTGCCCGCCTCGGCCTCCCAAAGTGCTGGCATTACAGGTGTGAGCCACCGGCCTTGCACCTGTGATTTTAACAGAACCCCACCCCCCAGCACCTGTGAGGAGTGTGGGCTCAGCGAGGAAAGCAGTGGTAGGTGGAGGCTGTTAGGAGTAGAGTAGTGCTGGTCTAGACTTGGGGTTGAGTGTGGAGGAGGTGTGCTGGGTTCCCCCAAGACCACCCCAGGCTCGATGATCCACTAGGAGGACTCACAGGAGATGTCGTACTCATGGCTATGATTTATTACCACAAGTGGATATTAAGCAGAATCAACAAAGGGGGTGCTGGGCACGGTGGCTCACGCCTAATCCCAGCACTTTGGGAGGCCAAAGCGGGCGGATCGCTTGAGGCCAGGAGTTGGAGACTGGCCTGGCCAACATGGCAAAACCCCATCTCTACTAAAAATACAAAAATTAGCCAAGCATGGTGGTGAGGCAGGAGAATCGCTTGAACCCAAGAGGAGGAGGTTGCAGTAAGACTCTGTCTAAAAAAAAAAAAAAAAAGAGAAGCAAAAGGAACAGGTTCCTGGGTGAAGCCCAGAGGAAACCAGAGCCAGGCTTCCAGAGTCCTCTCCGGGCACAGTCGCACAGGACAGGCTTAATTCCTTTATCGCCAAGTTGTGCCAGCACCACATGCGATGTTGTCTACTAGCAAAGCTTATTAGAACTGAGCGCACACCGTTTTCACTGGCCAAGTAGGCTGACTTGAGGTACAGCTCAGAATGTACCTGTCTTAGTTTGGCTCACGCTTGGAATCCCAGCATTTTGGGAGGCCAAGGTGGGCCGATCACTTGAGGTCAGGAGCCCGGCCAACGTGGTGAAACCATGTCTCTACTAAAAGTACAAAAATTAGCCAGGCATGGTGGCGTGTGCCTATAATCCCAGCTACTTGGGAGGCTGGGGTGGGAGAATCACTTGAGCCTGGGAGGCAGAGGTTGCAGTGAGCTGAGATTGCACCACTGAACCCCAGCCTGGGTGACAGTGAGACCCTGTTTGAAAAAACAAGAAGTGTATTTGACTCACGGTTCTGCAGGCTGTACCAGAAGCATGGCACCAACATCTGCTCCTGGAGAGGGCCTCAGGCTGCTTCCACTGACGGCAGAAGGGGAAGGGGAGCCAGTGTGTCGAGATCACATGGTGAGGGAGGAAGCAAGCGGGGTGGTGGGGAGGGAAGGGAAGGGGGAAAGGTGCCAGGCTCTTTTTAACAACCAGCTCCCTTGGGAAGTAATAGAAGAGTACTCATTCTCTCCGTTGGAGAGCATTAATCAATTCTTGAGGGATCTGCCCCCAAATCCCGCCTCCGACACTGGGGACTAACATTTCAGCGTGAGTTTTGGAGGAAACAGTCCCTAAATTCCAGACTTTCAGAAGGAAAGCAGGTGTTCAACATAAACCGCATTGTTTGTACAAGTGGTTTAAGTGGAGTGAGTTTCTTTTATCAGTTAGGGGGGTGGGAACCTTCCTGAAATCCAAGTTCTCAGACTTGGTTAGCCCTTGGTTAGCCCAAGGACTAACCTTGTAAACACATCTCACTAAGGAGTCCATCCAGGCTTGGTGGGTTAACTCCTTTCTGCACAGTAGGGAAGTGAGGAATGATTTAAAACACATAGAGGCCAGGCGTGGTTGCTCATGCCTGTAATCCCAGCACTTTGGGAGGCTGAGGTGGGAGGGAGGACTTCTTGAGGCCAGGAGTTCGAGACCAGCCTGGGCAACATAGCAAGACCCCATCTCTACAAAATAAGAAAATTAGCCAGTCATGGTTGTGTGCACCTGTGGTCTTGCTACTCAGGAGGCTGAGGAGGGATAATCACTTGAGCCCAGGAATTCAAGGCTGCTGTGAGCTAGTCCAGCCTGGGTGAGAGAGCAAGACCCTGTCTCAAAAAATTTATAGTAATAATGCATATAAAACATTTGTATTGAGGTTGAGTTAATTTGATGGTTCATATATTCATTTACCAATGACATGGAGCATTTTTGTGCCAAGTAGGGTATCGGGAACAGGGTGGTAAAAGCACCCAGGCTTATTCTTACAAAGCTTCCAATCCAGTGAGGATGACAGAAAATAAACACCCATGGCTACAATACATAGCTGGTTACAGATGGGAAAGGGCTGTGAAGAAAGGGAAAGGGTCCTATCGGAGAAAAGGAGAGAAGGGGCTCTTTGTGCAGGGGAGGAGACCTCAGGATGGGGCACTCTGAGGGGGACATTTCAGTGGATCCAAAAAGAAAAGGCTCGATGTAGGCGTTGGCTGTAGCGGGGATGGGTGAGAGAGGGGCTTAGGGGTGAGTACTGCCATGTAGAGATGTCATCACTATTTATTCTGATTAGTTGCTGGGATCTGTAGAGTGTCAGAGAGGGGTGAGATTTCTGATCAAAGACAGGGACAGCACTTCCTGAGATCGAGGACATGGTGGAGGACAGCGATGAGTTTTATTTATTTATTTATTTATTTTTTAAGACCTAGTCTTGCTCCGTTGCCCAGGCTGGAGTGCAGTGGTGCAATCTTGGCTCACTGCAACCTCCGCCTCCTGGGTTCAAGTGATTCTTGTGCCTCACCCTCCCGAGTGGCTGGGACTACAGATGTGTGCCACCACGCCCAGATAATTTTTGTATTTCTAGTAGAGATGGGGTTTCGCCATATTGGCCAGGTTGGTCTCCCGACCTCAAGTGATACACTGGCCTCAGCCTCCCAAAATGCTGGGATTACAGGTGTGAGCCACTGCACCTGACCTAGTTGTTGTTGTTGTTTTTTTAATAACGGAAATTTCTCTTTCACAGTTTAGGATACCAGAAGTCTGAAACTAAGGTTTCGACATGGGTGTGCTTCCTCTAATGGTTCTGGGGGAGGATCCTGCCCCCTGTCTGCTAACGGTGGCCTGCAGCCCTTGGTGCTACTTGGCTTGTGGACGCAGCCCTCCCGTCTTTGCCTGTGTTGCCTCATGGCCGTCTCCCCTCTGTGTCTCTGTCTCTGTCTCTTCTCTTAGGAGAACCATCGTATTGGATTAAGGGCCTACCCTACTCTCGTATCATCTCAACTCATTACATCTGTAACAATCCTATTGCCCAATAAGGTCACATTTTGAAATACTAGGGGTTAGGGCTTCCCAGTTTTTGGGGGGACACAATTCAAGCCATGGCAATCTGTTCGCTAGTCCCCCCAAATTCGTGTCCTTCCCACATGCAAAATACACTCACGTGATCCCGACATTCCCAAAGTTGTAATCCATTCCCAACTCTAAGTGCAAAATCTCATCTAACCACCATCAACTCAAAAGTTCATCTCATCTGATGAGAATCCCACAACTCATGATGTCAGTCATCTACAGCAGGTATGAGGGAGACGCAGAGCGTGGTCCATTGTGGGGCCAAATTCCTCTCCATCTGCGAACCTGTGAGAAATCAGAAAGCAAGTGATCTGTTTCCAAGATACAGTGATGGGGCAAGCATAGGATAGACATTCCCATTTCAAAAGGAGAAACTGGAAGGGAAAAAGGGGTCATGGGTCCTGAGCAAGTTTAAAACCCATCAGGGCAAAAGCTAGGAGGTTTCCAGGCCTGGAACGAATCCTCTGTGGTTGGAAGCTCTGACCTCTGGACCTCATTTTGGGTACATTCTATTCCTGTTCCCTGAGATGGGCAGAAAGATTTGAGCCAATGGTTGGATACATGGTCTGGTGTTCAGATGTCAGAGTCAGCCTAGAGATTTGGGCTTCATCATGAAGATGTGGGAATTGACACCCAGAGAATGGGTGAGGTTGCACGCCAAGGCAGAGAGAGTTGAGGGAGGCGCGAAGAGGAGGGCCTGCAACCTGTGGATGCCGGCAACATGTTGGAGGAGAAGCTCTTGCAGGAAAAAGAGGAGGCCGAGGTTGTGATCACCGATCACAGGCTGGGTGGGCTATAAGAAGGAGGGATTGGCTAGGTGCAGTGGCTTGCAGCTATAATCCTGGCTACTCAGGGGGCTGAGGTGGGAGGATTGCTTGAGGCCAGGAATTCAAGGCTAGCCTGGGCAACATAGTGAGACCCCCATCTCTAAAAAAATTTTTAAAAAATTAACTGGGTGTGGTGGCACACACGTGTAGTCTTAGCTACTTGGGAGGCTGAAGTGGGAGGATCACTTGGGCCCAGGAGTTTGAGGCTGCAGTGAGCCGTGATTGTGCCACTGCACTCCAGCCTGAGTGACAGAGCAAGACTCTGGTTTTAAACAACAACAGGAGCAACAACAACAACAACAGCAAACCCAGAAGAGATCGGACGACGAACACACATCAGTGGGATTTCCCAGCATGGATGGAGGTCACTGGTGATTCCAGGGTGGTGCCGGCCCTTGGAACGGTGGCAATGAGAAGCAAGTGGGAGAGGAGGAAGTGGGCACGGAGGGTAGATAGCCCACGATAGGAAATGCAGAGATAGAGGTAGCCCAAGGGAAAAGTGGGGTGTTATGGCTTGACTTGTACCCCTCCAAAAAGACAGGCTGAAGTCCTAACCCTGTGAATGTGGCCTTATTGGAAATAGGGTCTTTGCAGCTGTAACCAAGTTAGGAGGTCACAAGGGTGGGCCCCAATCCATCATGACTGTATCCTTATGAGAACGTGAGGAAGACGCCGCGTGAAGACAGACACAGGGAGGGGACCGTGTGACGGGGGAGGCAGACACTGGAGTGATGCATCCACAAGCCAAGGAGCCCCAAGCATCGATGGCCACCACCAGAAGCCAGGGAGAGGCGAGGAAGGACTCTTCTCAGAGTGTCAGAGGAGGCGTGGCCCTGCTGAGCTTAGTTTTGGACTCCTGGTCTCTAAAACTGCCAGAGGATACATGTCTGTGGTTTTAAGCCACTCAGTTTGATACTTTGTGATGGCAGCTGCAGAAAACACATGGGGTCAGTGATTGGGTGTGGGTCAGCTTTAAAAAGTGAGGGGAAAGGTCCCGTCGGGAGGGAGAGGTGAGGATGCAGGGGACTAGGGATGATCTGGGAGTTGCTTGCTTGTCTGTCATAGGCCAGAAGGAGGATGCCTGGTGCAGAGGGAGGAGTGGTGGTGATTTGACGGCAGGTGGGAAGGAAGTTTCCTTTTAAGGCAGACCTGCAGGTTGGTTGTGGTTTATCTGCCCTCTACTTGTGGTAAGTCCTGGAGCACCACTAGCCCTGCAGTGTAGGGGGGCAGAGGAAGGGGCCAGGCAGCCGGGGAGGAAGAGCTGTCCCAAGGCTGAGTCAGGGGACAGTGGCGGGTGCTGCAGGAGCTTTGGAGTCTCCTGGTGAATTATTGAGTCTATAGCTCTTGGGATATGGAATGAAGGGATATGTGTGTGTGTGTGTGCGTGCGCGCGCGTGCGTGCATGTCTATAAGTGTCTTTGTGTGTATGCTTGTCTGTGTGTATATGTTATATATATACACAGGTGCATGTGGTGTGTAACTGTGTTTGCATGTATATGTGTGCATGTCCGTGTGTACATGTGTGTATGTGATTGCATGTGTGTGCAAGAGCTTGCAGATATGTGTCTACATGTGTGTGTCCCTGTGAATGTGGGCATGTGCGTGTGTACAGATGTGATCACTCACAGCCAGGGTGGGCAGCCTTGGGGCCTGTGAGTGTGCCCAGTAGGCCAGGCACCAACCCTCACACCTCCTCCCTTCTCCCCTAGCTGTGCCTGCACGGGACCCTGCCTGGCTTCAGGAGGACAGAGTAGAGGAAGAAGCTATGGCTCCTGGGCTGCCAACTGCCTGTTCACAGGTAGGTAAGAACTTCTTGTTCTAAAAGAACACTGCTGTGCCCAAAGGCTGGACTTGCTGTCTTCCTGTGACCTGCCTGGATCATTTCATGGGGTTGGTCTCCGTGCTTCAGGGACTGGGCCTCTTGCAGTGGGTGTCAGCAAGGGAGCATGGGCCATGATCCCACCACCTCATCCAGACCCTTCCCAGGCTGCTGAGCCCCAGGAGGGAAAACAAAGCAAGGATGTCAGCCACCCTCATTTTGTGGTCTTCATGGTCTCACTGAACAAAGAGTTGAGTCATTTTCCAGGTCGTTCCCTCTTGCCTGTACCATGCTCAGGTCTGCTGGACCCTGGAGCTAGAAGGAGGACAAATCTGCAAGAGCTTCCTGGCTCCTTGTCAATAGATAAGTCCTGTCCTGAGGTCCAGGACTCGCAACATTAGTTATTGCCTCTTGCCTTTCTTACTTAAGGAGTGGAGTGTAGAGAGAGGAGTTCTAGTTCAGAGTCCTGAGCCCAGGAGCAGATTCTGGGGGATCTCAGAACCCTGTCTGAAAGTCCTCTGCGTGGGGTTTCCCTTCCCCAGGCCTGCCCGCCCCCAGCATCCTCTGGCATACTGGTGGGGGTGGTCCCTGGCTGAGCTGGGATGGATGTGTGTTTTAGGAACCAGTCACCTTTGCAGATGTGGCTGTGGTGTTCACCCCAGAAGAATGGGTGTTTCTGGACTCTACTCAGAGGAGCCTGTATAGAGATGTGATGCTGGAGAACTATAGGAACCTGGCCTCTGTGGGTAAGGCGACTTCGTCTTTTCTTTCCTTTTTTTATTTTTTTTCTTTTTTTTTCTGAGACAGAGTCTTGCTCTGTTGCCCAGGCTGGAGTGTGATGGCGTGACCTTGGCTCACTGTAACCTTTGGCTCACTGCAATCTCCACTTCTTGGGCTCAGATGATCCTCACACCCCAGCCTCCTGAGTAGCTGGGACCACAGGCGTGTGTCATCACACCTGGCTAATTTTTGTACTTTTTTTGTTGAGATGGGGTTTTGCTGTGTTGCCCAGACTGGTCTCGAACTTCTGGGCTCAAGCGATCCACCTGCTTCAGCCTCCCAAAGTGCTGGGATTACAGATAAGAGCCACTGCACCCAGACAAGGCTTTGTCTGTTCATCACACGCTTATGCAGCAACCGTAAGCTCCAGAAATTGTGCAAGTCTCGGAAACCTAGAGGTGGAAAAACAGATAATTCCCACCTTCATGAGCTTCCAGTCTACTGGCCTTACTGTGGCATGAAGATCTTTTTACTGCTCTGTCTCTCTGTGATTAAAAGCTTTTGGGCTTCTCAAATGTATTCCTGAACCAGGCCCTTGGTTTTGTAGACCAGAGAGCCTCAGTGCCCTCTGGGACCCAGTGAGAGAACTTGTATTTAGTTCCTCAGTGAAAAAGTTTGGCTGTGTCCCTCAGAATTTAGACACAAGCATTTTGCCCCTCCCATCTCTAGAGCCCCTAGAGACTTGAGAATATCGGCCCTGGTGTCAGGGCATGGCACAGTCCTCCCACAACATGCGTTGTTTTTCTCATGAGCAGCTGATCAACTGTGCAAACCCAATGCATTGTCTTATTTGGAACAAAGAGGAGAGCAGTGGACCACTGACAGAGGCATCCTCTCAGACACCTGTGCAGGTGAGCCCAGGCAGATCAGGTGAGCATCAGCTCTGGTCAGTAAGGGGAGTGTCCAGTTTGGAAACTGTCAATCAGGGCAACCTATTCATACCCTTGACTGAGAAGCCTGTTTGGTTGAGCTCCCTTATTAAATGCCACCTTCTTTCCTTTTTCCCTTTCCTTTTTAATCTCTAAAACTTTACATTAATCTCCTAAAAAGATTTGTCCTACTTTCCTCTTCATATTTAATATTTCCATGTATATATTTTATCCATTTCCTCCCCACTGTACATTCTTGCTAATATTTTTCCTCAACATTAGTCACAATCTTCATAGAATCCTTTTTTGGTAAATTACCTACTATTTCCTTCCCATGTTCATCTGATTACATAACTTCTCACCTAGCCAAACACCTTAAAATTTTCCTTAACTCTTAGATGCATTCCTTCTCATTGCAATTTCTTCCCATATTTAGGATCAGTATTTGGGAAAAAAAAAAAAGTCCACATGTGCCTTGCTTACTTTTTAGGTCACCTTAATCCCACAGTTTCTTTCTCTGTGTGTTTAACTTTTTCTTCCCTAATTTATTTCAGAGCCTCAACTTCAACCCCAAAAGGCAATTCCTAGCCAAGATCCTTTTACGGAGATTCTGTCCATTGATGTGAAAGGGGTAAGGCTCACCAGGGATTATCCGTGGTTCTCTATAGTAGGATGAGTCTGGGGTTACTGTAAGTTAGAAAAGCAGCCCAAGAGCCAAGAGAGATTCAAGGCAAGAAGTGCTTACCCAGGAGGAAGCAGTTTCTTGGGAGAGAGTCCGTGAATGTCATGGATTGGTGGAAAATTAAACATAGATCATGTTCTTACAAGTAAGCATTTTCACAGATATGACACAGATACCAAGTGTTTAAGACTTACTTTAGCCTTACACAAATTGGAAAAATTCTGCATCTAAGAAGCCCTATGAAAATAATGAAAAGATAGCTCTTTGCATCAGAGTATCCACCCTATTCCACTTGAGGGAACTCTGGGTAGAAATGGTATGGACTCCGTAAATGGTAAAAGTATTAGACGTAGAACTGTCTTTTTCTTACATTCATTTCACATAGGGGAGAATATCCGTGAATCTAATAAGGCCTTTGGTCTTCACATTTTCCTTTATCGATAGGAGCAACCTCAGCCTCGAGAAAAACTCTATAAATATAATGAACTTGAGAAACCTTTTAACAGCATCGAACCACTTTTCCAGTACCAGAGAATTCATGCTGGAGAGGTGTCCTATGAATGTCAAGAGAGTAGAAATTCCTTCTTCCAGAGCACCCATCTAATCGTGCCTGAGAAAATCCGTAGTGGGGATAAAACCTATGCATGTACCAAATGTGAAAAATCCTTCAGATACAGCTCTGACCTTATCAGGCATGAGAAGACTCATACTGCAGAGAAGTGCTTTGACTGTCAAGAATGTGGGCAAGCCTTCAAATATTCCTCGAATCTCCGGCGACACATGAGAACCCATACTGGAGAGAAGCCATTTGAATGTAGTCAGTGTGGGAAAACCTTCACAAGGAACTTTAACCTGATTTTGCACCAGAGAAACCACACAGGGGAGAAGCCCTATGAGTGTAAAGATTGTGGGAAAGCCTTCAATCAGCCATCATCCCTTAGGAGCCACGTGAGAACTCACACTGGAGAGAAGCCCTTTGAATGCACCCAGTGTGGGAAAGCCTTCAGGGAACACTCTTCACTGAAGACACATCTGCGAACCCATACCAGAGAGAAACCATATGAATGCAACCAGTGTGGCAAGCCCTTCCGGACGAGCACTCATCTGAACGTGCACAAGAGGATACACACAGGGGAGAAACTGTATGAGTGCGGGACTTGTGGTCAGGTCTTGAGTCGTCTTTCAACCCTGAAGAGTCACATGCGAACTCACACTGGAGAGAAGCCCTACGTGTGCCAGGAATGCGGGCGAGCCTTCAGTGAGCCCTCATCCCTCAGGAAACATGCAAGGACTCACAGTGGCAAGAAGCCCTATGCATGCCAGGAATGTGGGCGAGCCTTTGGTCAGTCTTCACATCTTATTGTACATGTGAGAACACACAGTGCCGGGAGACCCTATCAATGTAATCAGTGTGAGAAAGCCTTCAGGCACAGCTCCTCACTCACTGTACACAAAAGAACCCACATGGGAAGAGAGAACATCAGGAATGGTAGCCTGCCTTTACCCATGTCTCATCCATACTGTGGGCCCCTTGCTAATTAACTTCCATTTTCTAAAAATATAAACACATAGGGCTATGACTGTCCCTCATAATACTCCTTTAGCTGCATCTCATGTTTCAATGTATAATATTTTCATTTTGGTTTGATTGTAAGTATTGTCTTAACCTCTATTATCATTTATTCTTTGACCCATCTATTATTTGGAATTAGATTTTTCAAAACTAATACGTGGATATATTTTCATAGAGGTATAATGACTTACAGCGAAATGCATACATCTGAAGTATACAGTTGGATGAGTTTGACAGATGCATACATGCATGTAACCAACACTCATTCCAGATATAGAATGTTTCTATCTTTCTGGAAGGTTCCTGCATGTTATATGGCTATTTCTTAGTTGCCTTTTTGTTGTTGGTTTCTAATTTAATTACATGGTGAGAAGAGTATGTGGCCTCTTTGTTATTGAGTCATAGGTATTTGCTGAGATTTGCTATTAGGTCTGGTGTGGCTTATTCTTCTAGCTGCCAGCCAAAATTGCCCCTTCCTCCTTAGAAAAGAACCTGGGTTTTCTGTTCAGATTGGTGGCATGCACTATTAAAAAGCTTCCATCACCTGGCCGGGCACGGTGGCTCATGCCTGTAATCCCTGAGGATTACAGGCTGAGGCGGGGGGATCACCTGAGGTCAGGAGTTCGAGACCAGCCTGGCCAACATGGTGAAACCCCCTCTCTACTAAAAATACAAAAATTAGCCAGGTTTGGTGGCATGCATCTGTAATCCCAGCTACTTGGGAGGTTGAGGCAGGACAATTGCTTGAACCCAGGAGGCGGAGGTTGCAGTGAGCCGAGATTGTGCCACTGCACTCCAGCCTGGGCAACAGAGTGAGACTGTCTCAAAAAAATAATTAAAAAAAAGCTTCCATCTCCCAGCCCTTCTTGCAAGCAAGGGCAGGCCATTTCTTCTGGTCCTGGCTAGTATGAATGTGAGAAGTCACCGGATGTGACTCTGGGGAAGATGTTGTGTTCAGGGATGGTTTCATGTAGCCACATCTCTCCACTTCTTGCCTTTTGGACAAGGAGACATGATGTCTAGAGCTAGAGGAGCCCTCCTGTGACCATAAAGGGTAAAAGCCACAGGCTAAGAGTGTGGCCGGAAGTCATATCCATCTTGCTTCTGTAATCTAAAAAATATTTAGGATATATTTAGTAGAATTGGCATATTTATGTGATTGTAGCAGCCCTGGACTATTTGTTTCTGGATGTCCCATACATGAAAAATAGGCACTTCTTACTGGTAGAAGATGGTTTTTTTTTTGTTTGTTTTTTTGTTTTTGTTTTTGGTGGGAGGTTTATTTCAGCTGAATATAATTCCTAACTGATGCACTTAGTATATGTCAATTTTTATAAATGCTTCATGGATGGTTGAAATCAATGTATTGTATTCTGCAAATGTCTGGTAGATCAAGCATATGTGTTTAAAAGCCATCTACACATTTATAAAGATTGATCTGTGATCTAGCGTTTATTAAGAGAGGTATGTTAAACTCTCCCACCATGATTATGTATTGCTGAACAATCTTTGTCCATTCTGTCAATTTTTAAATTTATGTATATACATACATATGTATGTTTTGAAGCAATGAAATTAAATATAGATACTGACATTTTTTACATTTCCAACAAATTGTTACTTTTATTCTTATAAAGTGATCATCCTTTTCCCTATTACTGAACATTCAACCATTCATCATAATGATAGTAAATACTTATTTAGAGTTTACTATTAATAGATAGTAGCCACTGCCTGAAGCTTTGCATCTTTTAATTTAGTCCTCACACTGACACTTTGAGGTATGTGCTGTTTCATCCCCAATTCACAGATGAGGAAGCTGAGGCCCAGCAAATTAAGGTGGGCTATCAGGGTCATCTGGGTGGCATGTGACGGGCCTGACTCTACAGTGGCAGACCCAGGGGACTAGTCTCCATTTTTATTTGTTCTTTTTTTTTTTTGGTTTTAAAGTTCTCTTAGGTATAATTTACATAAATGTTAATAAATCTTAGGGTACACCTTGGTGATTTTTGCATATGTCTATACCCACCACAGGCTCCATCAAAATATTTTATCATCCCAGAAATTTCCCTTGGGCCCCACCTCATCCTCAAAGGTTACCACTATTCTGACTTCTATCACCATAGATTTGTTTTTCCTGTTCATGTAAATGGAACCATAAACAGCCCTCTTGTGTCTGTTTTTTTCACTTAATATAGTGTCATTAAGATTTATCTATGTTGTATGATCAGTAGTTTATGCTTTTTAATTGCCGTGTAATAGTCTATAGTCTGAATATACCACAATTTAAAGATGCTATTCTGTTTATGAACATTTGAATTCTGTCCTTCAGGTTCATCCATGTTATCACAAAAGACAGAATTTCCTTCCTCATTAAGGCTGAATAGTATTCCATTGTGTAGATATACCACATTTTCTTTATCCATTCATCCACTGATGGGCAGTTAGGTTGATTCCATATTTTGGCTATTGTGAATAATCCTGCAGGTTTTATTGTTATGAATAAAGCTGCTGTGAATGTTCTTGTTAAGTGTACATAGGTATTCATTTCTCTTGAGTATAAATGTAGGAATGGAATTGCTGGATTTTGGAGGAGACCTATCTTTAGCTTTAGTATATCTTGCCAGACAGTTTTTCAATGTGGTTGAAACCATTTATACCTCAATTTGTACATCAATGAATGAAAGTTTCATTGCTTCACATCTTTGGCAACACGTGGTACTGTCACTCAAATTAATTTGAGCTACATTAGTGGGTATGCAGCAGTTTCTAGATTTAATTTGCATATTCTTGATGAGTAATGATACAGTGGTAGATGGTTGCCATAATGACTTCTTCTGTCCCTCTATGTATATCTCTTTTCCATGTGACTTTGCAGCTCCTCCTATCAAGAGGTGGAGTTTATTTCTCCACACCTTGAAGATGAGCTTGGTCATGTGACTTTCCTTGGCCAATGGAACATTGACAAACATGACAGAAGCAGAGGCTGGAAGAACACACATTGGGCTTTTCCTTCTTAGTTGTGACCATCTGTATGTCATCTGTGGAAAAATGTCTAAATCCTTTGCCCATTTTAAAATAAGTTTTTCTTTGTTGTTGAGTTGTAGAAGTTCTTTCTATATTCTGAATATTAACCCCTTATCAGATATATGATTTGCAAATATTTTCTCCCATTCTAGGGGTTACCTTTTTACTCTATTAATTGTATCTTTTGATATGCAGAAGTTTAAAATTTTGATGTAGTCCAACTTATATTTTTTGTTTTCTTTGGATGTCATATCCAAAAAATCATTGCTAAATCTAATGTCGTGAGGCTTTCCCCCTATGTTTTCTAAGATTCTTATTGTTTCAGCTCTTGCATTTAGGTCTTTGATGTACTATGAGTTAATTTTTGTTTATTTGTTTTTGTTTTTTTGAGATGGAGTCTTGCTGTGTTGCCCAGGCTGGAGTGCAATGGTGCAATTTTGGCTCACCGCAACCTCCGCCTCCCTGGTTCAAGCAATTCTCCTGCCTCAGTCTCCTGAGTAGCTGGGACTACAGCTGCATGCCACCACACCTGGCTAATTGTTTGTATTTTTAGTAGAGACGGGGTTTCACTGTGTCAGCCAGGATGGTCTCAATCTCCTGACCTCATGATCTGCCCGCCTCAGCCTCCCAAAGTGCTGGGATTACAGGTGTGAGACCTGCACCAGGCCAAGTTAATTTTTATATGTGGTATAAGAAAAGAGTCCAACTTCATTCTTTTGCATGTGCATATCCGGTTTTCCCAGCATCATTTATTGAAGACTGCCCTTTCCCCATTGAATGGTCTTGGCGCCCTTATCAAAATTCATTTGACTGTATATATGAGGTTTTATTTCTGGACTCCCTACTCGATTCCATTGGTCTATATGTCTGTCTTTATGCCATTACCGTGTTGTGTTGATTACTGTAGTTTTACAATAAATTTTGAAATAAGCAAGTGTGGTGTGAGACCTCCAACTCTGTTCTTTTTCAAGATAGTTTTGACTTCTTGGTTTGGTATTCTTGAGATTTCGTATGAGTTTTAGGATGGATATTTTCCTGTTTCTGCAAAAATATTAAGTCATTCAGCCCATGAACATAGTATGTCTATTTGTTTGTGTCTCTTTTAAGTTTTTTCAGCAATGATTTTTAGCTTTCAGTGTACAGGTTCTTCATCTCGTTGGTTAAGTTAATTCCAAAGTATTTTATTGTTTTTGATGCTATTGTAAATGGATTTGTTTTCTCAATTTCCTTTTTGGGTTGTTCATTGTTCGTGCATGGAAATGCAACTGATTTTTTTTGTGTTGATCACACTTCTTTTGAAACCCATATTATGAAGTGTCACTACTCTCCTTGGTCCAAGTTAAAATGCTTTCCTGGATCCAAATGGCATTTCTTTTGTGGGGAATTATCAACAGTAAAGATCTAGGTTGATCAAAACTCAGTCTGAGAAATCACCAGCAGGAGAGGGCAGAGATATCCATGGGATGGAGATGAAATAGACTTTGTAATATATTATGGGTGTATTATGGGCCTCTTTTCTCATCCAATCCAGGATGCTGACATTCAAGGTGACAGATCAGCGGTTCATCTTGGGCTGTACCTTGGGCATTCTGCAGGTGGGCCCAGTTGCTATGCTGTTGCCTATCTCTTCAGCATCATCAACACCCTGCACGGTGTCTTCATCTTCCTGGCGTACCTGCCTTTTCAGTCAACAGGTGACACTGTCTAGGTCTCACCCAAGACTCTTCTTGTCTTTGCCTCTCTTAATGAGCTCACTGCAAGCTCCGCCTCCCAGGTTCAAGCCATTCTCCTGCCTCAGCCTCCCGAGTAGCTGGGACTACAGGCGCCCGCCACCACACCCAGCTAATTTTTTTGTATTTTTAGTAGAGACGGGGTTTCACCATGTTCACCAGGATGGTCTCAATCTCCTGACCTCGTGATCCACCCGCCTCAGCCTCCCAAAGTGCTGGGATTACAGGCGTGAGCCACCGCGCCTGGCCATAAATTATATTCTTAAAAAATACTAAGAGAGTGGATGTAAAGTGTTCTCACCACAAAATAATAACTGTATGAGATGAGGCATATATTAATTTGCTAGATCTAGTTATTCCCCAATGTATACATCCATTAAACATCATGTTGTACTTGATAAATACATAATACATAAATACATAAAATACAATTTTATCTGTCCAAAGAAAAATGCCAGTGGGATCCCCTCTAGTTGTGTACTGGGAAGGGCAGAAATCCTCTGTTCTTTGTTGTCTTGAGAGAAAGATTTTGGCCAAAATGACTACTTTAGTCAAAAAGAGAATTTATTGAAGGAAAATAGAGAGTAGAGAATTATTTTTATTTTTTATTTTTTGAGATGGAGTCTCGCTCTGTCACCCAGGCTGGAATGCAATGGCACAATCTCTGCTCACTGCAGCCTCTGCCTCCCAGGTTCAAGCGATTCTCCTGCCTCAGCCTCCTGAGTAGCTGGGATTACAGGTGCCCGTGATCACGCCTGGCTAATTTTTGTGTTTTTAGTAGAGATGGGGTTTCACCATGTTGGTCACGCTGGTCTCGAACTCCTGACCTCAGGTGATCTGCCTGCCTCGGCCTCCCAAAGTGCTGGGATTACAGGCATAAACCACCTCCCTCGGCCAGCAGAGAGTTATTTAAAGGGACATTACGCCCTGCAAAGATGAGGTAGAGCAGGCCGCTGGCGGGAATGAGCCAGCAGTAGCCAGAGAGTTCTGCCTTAGGTTTTTCACGATGTTGGGCTCTTCCTTGAAGTTCCCTCCTTTGTCTTAAGTCTCTGCTTTTTTCTTTGCTTAGTTTTCCTACTCCTGCTTTTAGTCTCTGCCTTGTCCTGCCTCATTCCCACCCAGGTTTATGGGGCCTTCCCTTACCATTAGTTGGTGCACACGTGTGGCCCGGTGCTGGATAGGAATCCTACCTAATGGCGGCATTGCTCATCACTGCCACCCCAGGAAGGTCATATAGCAGTAACATCTGTCACATAGCTGTTAGAATTTCTCCTTTGCCCTCCTTTTCAACATGTAGCTAGATTCTGACAGGGTAACTGCAGAGTGAGCGATTGCTGGGCATCTTAAGGGGAAATCCGTTCCGCTTAGGTATTTCTGCTCCTCTCTGCTTATACCTAGCATGCAAGTTTTGGGTGGTCCCTGGGGTGCGAGACTTTCCACATCTCCCCTTCCTCAGGAGCTCCCCCTCCTGCTCATGTCTAGCTGTCTGCCTACTCTAACAGCCCTAACAACAACAATGAAATCCCCTACATAGTCAAAAGTCCCATAGCAATTTGGCTCCCAGTTGAGAACCATTGTCTTAAATACCTTAAAAAAAAAAAAAAAAAACTGTCAGTAATTTTCTTAGTAACTATTTTATTTATTTATTTATTTATTTATTTGAGACAGTGTCTCGCTCTGTTGCCCATGCTGCAGTGCAACGACGCGATCTTGGCTCACCGCAACCTCCGCCCGCCAGGTTCAAGCGACTCTCCTGCCTCAGCCTCCTGAGTACCTGGGATTACAGGCATGTACTACCACGCTGGCCTTTTTTTTTTTTTTTTTTTTTTTTTTTTGTATTTTTAGT